GCTTTTTTTTGGTCATTTAATAAAACACGGGCGGGGGGGGGGGGGAGGGTAAGAGCGCCAGTGGATTAGGCCACAACTGCCCAAGATGTTAGTCGGAACGTGTTTTGCTTGACCACCTCACAAAAGGAGAATCTAACCGAGATGACGAAATTTAAGTAACAGTACACACAGAGAGAGCCAAATAAAACAAGATATTAAATGAATCACAATGAATTGATTAATAAAAAAACACACATGTGCTCCACTACTGAAGTTCGAGTAATAAAAAAAGAAAGGATGTTATAAATCTCAAATACAAACTGACAAAATTATTTTTCGAGATAGCCCCGCGAGACGTCTACCATGGTATACGCCCGAAGTATTTACAGATATTTTGCGCCTAAATATTGAACTTATCTGTAGGTCTTATTTGTCAGGCGCGGCCGAGATGTCCTCAACTCTGGTCAAAAAGTGGCCAGTAGTGGGCACGTCACTTTGCAGGGGCTGCTTGCGTCGTTGCCAAAAATTATGGTAGTAAAAAAACCCTAGAGAGAGAAAGACTGTTTAAAAATCTACTCTACTCTCTATCTGAGATAAAACTACTCATTGAAAACAATCGCACCTGAAGCAAAACCACGTACATTTTTTTATGCAACAAAGGTAAAGCAAAGGCAAAAATATGATAAAAGTGATAATAAGATATATAAGATATATATATAAGATAATATACCCTTGTTCTAAAAAGTTATGGTAGCTCAAAAATCAAAATCATGATCAATGTAATAGAAGGTGCCATGTAGGCACTGCCCCCATATTTGAATACGTAGAATGACCAATAAAATCAAGAAGTCTCTAAGAATTTCAATAAGCAATAATACGTGTATAAAGATTTGCAAAACTGCAACATGATGCAACCAACTGGAGGAGAAAGGAAAAGAAAGCTGATATTGAACGAAAGTCATCAGGGCACGCTTTAGGGCACGTGGTCCGAAGGTATATAAAAAAGTAGTTACCGCTGAGGGTCAAAATTCCATAAACAAAATGGAAGACGTAGCATCCAAACCAAAATAACTTAGGTTAGACAAAAAAGGGTGCTAGTCCATGAATTGGCGCTTGGGGCCTAATATCCCAGAGTCCGGAAAATGACGGAACGATCTCTGCACCACGAACTCAACGGAAACAGCAAAGCGAATCACACAGAATACGTTATGTTCTAGAAGAAGGTATCTTGAGTGGCCTTGAAAAAGATATATTTTATAGGAAATCAACTAACGGAGAAAAACTACAGACTTTTTTTGCTGATCGTCAACACCATACAGAATCGCTGATGAAGAAAGATATAATACGAGTGAAATTGTACAATCAATAAACTATTAAATTTGCCAAAAGAAAATCATTGAAAAGGGTTTGGCCTAAGAATGGGCACTCTATTATCAATGAAGAGAAATTCAAATTACGGCTAAGTGATAAATAGTAAAAAAAAAGGTTACGTGATTTTGGCACGTGACAAAGATAAATTTGGATCTTATTTTTGTGAGACATTACTACATACTTCCAAAAACCTCAAAGTCAGACTTCCCCGTAAGAAACAATGTCCGCACTGAACTAAAAAGCTCCCGGGCTCCTGGGAACCAGCGATTCCCCGGAGCAACGGTGCTTAATAAAATCCGACGGCCGCCTACTGCCAGCGACGCACTTTATTAGCTTCTACTTTGATGTTGCGGCGATACTACGAGATACATTAAGTGCCACTTTTTTTTCTATTGTAATTTTGTAGTTAGTCTACGGTTCGCATAATGGCACGGATCGGGTTCATTAAGGCGGCAAATGACTTGCTACAGTTACAAATTGACATTGTTTAGGCTCACAGGGAGCAGAAAAATTTAATAGGCTGCCTAAGCGCCACGTAGTGTCGCTTATAGGCTTCATCAAAGTTAAATCAATGAAATACGAATCTTTGGATTAGCCAAAAGAACCTGATGGAGACATTCGGAAACTCAAGGACGGCCATAGGCAATTTTCCCACTAAGAAAAAAGCATTTTCCAAAGACTGGCAACTAAGTGATCGAGTTATTGGCAAAAAATCCAGTAGTTGTAGTAACAGATTCACATATTTACTAGAAGTAACAGTGGCTGCCAATAAAATTAAGATATGATGATTGTACATCAGGTGCCTAGAAAAAAATTGCTGCATGAAGACGGAAATACCTTAGAACAAGTCAGGGACTTTGTCAGCTTCAAATTTTCGATAGATTTGGAGGACAACGATATCGAAACAGAACAGAAAATCAAGAAATATATGTTTAAACTAAGGGATATTGCGGTAAGGGGTACACATCAACTCGGTTCAAGATGATGTCTCTTCTAGCTGAGAAAATTGCATTGAATAATGTGTAGACAGGGCAAAATTTATGTGAACCTACTTGATAGAGTCAGATAGAAGTCCCACGAGGCTCTTTCGGACCTAGCTTCAGTTACTATTAATTGTATGTGCAGCTTTGTTAATCAAAGTAATAAGTGAGCAATAGTGGCAAACTATGTGCGCCAGGGTACTCAGCTCTACATTATTATGACCTACAAACAAACACGCCGACAGATAGGCCTATAGACAGACACACCAACCCACAGGCAAACAGACCGACAAACAAACACATTAACATTGCCACTTTTTCTTCTCTTCAAGATGGCATGATTAGAATTTCAATATGACGTTTCGTCTCTTGACCTTCAGCATCAACTTTGTTTTTTCTTGAGCATGCCATATTGAATTTTTGCACCGATGAATAGAGTTTTTAATTTTGATTCCTAAAATGTATCATACCTCATTGACATTGCCAAATTTTAGTTAATTAAAAAATAGCAGAATTTCCTAGGTAGGCCTTGAAATGATCAGATTGTCATTTGTTTCGGATACCAGATTTATTCTAAAATCAATTTTTTTTTACTTTATCTGAGATGAGATTTAAAAATAAATCGCATGTTGTCATTGCTACTTATTCTCCTCTACAAGATGGTGTAGATAAATTTTCCATTCGACATTTTTTTCCACTTCCAACCATCTTTGTTTTTTTATATGTACTTCCTTAGTTGGCCATGAATTTGTTTTTGGTAAGGTGAAATCTGAAGACAACATGAAAATTCTATTGATGGTAATAACAATAATAAATAATCATAAATAAGCAGAGGTAAATCATAGTAGATGATCAAAAGTCTTTTATTTTGTAAGCAAAGCCTGACTATCCTCTGTACACTGGTCACTGCTCGGTTCATTTGTCTTTTTCTCAGTCTTCCAAACTCGGTTGCTATGTTCAATTTCAGGTCTGATATGGTATACGAAACAAATGGAATCTGATAGTTTCATGGCCTATCAATGTGTGGCATATGATACATTTTTGAAATCATCATCATCTGCGAATAAATCAAATATGGCGTCATACGAGTATCTAAATTCTAATTATGCTATCTTGTAGAGGAGAAAAAGTGGCAATGTTATTGTGCAATTTATTTTGAAAACCTACTACAATTAAAGTCAGGAAAAAAATTAAAACGATATTGGAAAAATTCGTCTTTTTCTGACTTTCTCCAGAGGTACGTTAAATTTACAAACTTTCTAAGCGTCATTTTATAAATAATATGGAGCTCCTGAATAATTATTTGAAACCTACTGGACTCTCTTTGCTCTCCTTTGCTCATTTAAAGTTATGATAGGTGGCCTTTTAAGTAAGTTGAGTAAGAATCAATAGAACGTTAGCAATAACTTATGAAGTCCCTGGAGGGTTTAAAATAGCTGTAGACATACCTGTCCATAAAAAGGGTGGTGTAAGAAGTATAAAAATATCCGACATCGTAATTAAAGCCAAAACATTTGAGAAAGCTTGGACAACTTTACAAAATGTTACCTTTCGAGAAGAGATATCCTTGGGTCTCATCAAGATTTCTGGCACAGTAAGTCGTGGATGATGCAGGAGTACCAGGTGGGTCTTTGCAGTTGTTTGCAAGCTGTTATCCCTCAAATCGGAAACAAGTAGTAAACAGTTGTGACAGAATCAGTAATAAAAATTCAATAGACTATGGTTTACCACAAGACGCTGTGCTTGGTCCAAACTTGTTTAAAATCAGCGTAAACAGGATTTCAGCTTATCCTTGATATGGTTCGAGTATTTAATTTGCAAAGGCTATGACAGCTCTATATGATAGCAGCACTTGAGAAGATTGAATTGTTAAAGCAAAGTGGGGGTGGAATGATTTTTGATTATTATTTTCTTTCTCGAACTTCTTGGACTTTCTGGAAAACCCATTGAATGTTGTGGTTCCACGTAGCGGACCATGTCTCGCAATGAAATTTTTTTCTGTAGCCGCAAAATATGACTTAGAAACTCACCCTTAGAAGGATTTAATGGTTTTGTTTATAGTATGTAGCTTCTGATAGTAATGCATTTAAGATATCCAGTCTTTGATAAACGGGTTCAAACGTGTTTACACGATCACGATCTTGGACTACCTAGAAAGCTCCGCCATACCCACCGTATCAAAGACAAGGATCTCCTTTTAGATGGACAATATCCTGCTTCTATGTAGCGCTAACTTTCCTGGTATTCGTGAAGCTTACATAATTATGAAAGCAGATTTTCACGAAGACGAGTCAAGAGGATGAGATTGCACTTCGCTAATGCCTTAAAGAAGTTACAGTAATGGATTCCCTGTACTTTCATTACAGACACAGCCAGTAATATGGTTGAGGAAAATTAGATTTTGGCTTAATTTTCCGACTGGCTTTGTAGGACAGTCAGAATCTGTCTCAGAAGGTGCTGGATACTTAATTTCACGTTGCAGCGCTGATTTTCAAGGAGAATCAATCATATTTGGAGCTGGACGAGACGACAAGACTTAGGGTCACGCTGCTAAGTGTTGACTGAAGTTACTATAAGGAATCAAAGATGACAACTAGGTTGATCCTGAATAATTGATACTAATCCATACGATGGACTTGAAATTGAATGGGGGGAGAGTGCTCAAAATTTATGTTTAGGTATGTGTTCAACGCAGGAAGGGGGGGGGGTTATCGACAACTGAAATCGGAGGATTCAAGGACGGATATGGATAAATCAAAATTTATTAATCCTGCGTGCCTAACATGTATAGAGTTATATATTTTTCAAGATAGATAGCGACTCGAGGCCGTCCGCAGTTTGACCGTCTGCTTCTTCACCTAAGTCAGTTTTCATGGGGCTCGCGGAAAGGGGGTAATATTAGTTTATTTCTGCCAGGTATCTGACAGGAGCGATTTCATTGTATTTGCGCGAGCATCCTATGGTTGTGAGGTAGCTTAAACTGGTGCTACCAACAGGTCTGCCTTGTCCGAGTGGGTTTATAAAGCCTTTTTTACGGGAGTCTAAGGCTAAAGGAACCCCACCTCCAGTCGTCGTAGAGATATTGTAGGACATTGTATTGTTTTGATATCCTGCATACTAAATACAACTCTATAGACCTTCTTCAAGTAGACCCGAAGTGAATTTAAGCCGATCCGGCTTATCCTTGGTAGTAGTTGCTTGCAAAATGGGAACATCGCAAGTGTCAATTACTCATACCTTCACATCAACGTCGACATTTGATTTGCATCTAATTATCTGGTCCAGCGTCGCAAGAGCTCGTTTAGCTTTATATAGGCGAGTGTTGATGTGATATCTTGCCGACATATTCTTGTTAAGCTCGACTCCAAGGTATCTTACTTTTTCTGGTATTGGCACCATCTCATTTCCGATTTTAATTACACTTGGGTGTTTTCGCACAAAACTGAACAGGTGTTACACAGACTCCACTTGTTGTAATAGTCGGACTTGGTCCATCAAATGTCAACTACGAAAATTATTAGTTGAAAAATGTTCCTACTCTTTGTCTGAATACCTCGCACTGTGATATATTTTTAAAACTTTTTTTATATGTGAATGTCTGTACGCCTTAAGTTGTTTCTGTTTGTACTTTGTTTGTTTTGTTTTTACTCTTAATTATGTGTACTATGTCATTTTATGATAAATGTATCTATCTTTCCATTTATAAAACCATAGCCAAAACTGACCCTTGTGGCACATAATTCAGTAACTCCCATGGAGTGGATAAGATGTTCAAAGTACACTGTTCGACCACTGATGTAGTTCTCTACAAAGTGGATGATGGGGGTGGGGGTGCTTTGTGGTGTGACCTATCAAAGGATTACGTAAAATCAGTTGACATCGTCGTAAAATGAAAAACAAGTTCGGATATTTCGCGCCTGACATGGCGGCAGTCCGAAGCTCGAGAAGGAAATTAGTAGTGACTTCCTTCTGACATAAGACAACTTAGGGACAAAGCAAGTTTATGAAACTTAAGTCGCAGTGTATCATATCTTAGTAATAGGAAGCGCCCAAACGCATATCTGGTTTTGATGGATAGTCAGGAAGTCGGTTGACCCTCCGAGGATATACTATAATTTGACACTATTGTTGAATGTATTACTTCAAAATTTGCGGGAATTGATACGTCATTTAAAGTAACAATATCAGAAAGTAACCTTAAAAATGCATTAAACGTATCAATATGGCCGAAAAATTCGTGTATAAATCGTTTTTTACAGAAAAGAAGAATTTTATCGACATCGACATAGCCTTCCAGCCTAATCTGATACTGCTTAATGTTCAATGCTTAAATATTGACAAAGTCAGCTACATGTTATGGTATCTGACTATACAAGAGTGAAGTTCCCCTCCCTAACTGAAACCTGCGCTACTGCTGAATCAGTTAATAATTTTGTTATTGAGAATGTTCAGTTAGTTGGCTGATATTTTTGATCGTCGCACAAATGCGGTGGCTTAGCGATCAATTGCAGAGATGTTGTTGTTACAAAACCTATTGAAGTATCTCACTTTTCTCTGTATAAGAATATTGAGTTGTGGCCATTCAATTTCCAAATGGTGGTACACGTACCATCATCATTTTGTGCTATAGATCTCCCTCGGAAGATATGGAAATATTCCATGACAATCTGAATAGGTCTTTAAATTTTGTTTTCAGGCCAAATATAAATATAATTCTCTGTGGCGACTTCAATGTAGATTCTTACAATCATAACGACGACAATGAGGCCCTATTGAATGCACTGTCTGAGTTTGGCTTGCATCCACAGGTAGGTTGGCCAACAAGGATTGAGCGTACGTCTATCACAAAGATAGTCCAAGTTTTCACCAACTTCAATGATAGATGTTTGAACTGCGTTGTTGATCATTTCATATCTGAAGATAGAACAGTACTTATAGAAACGATAGAATGTTCTCAAGCTGACGATGCGGTAAAAGAAACAGTTAAAAGGGTTTTTGATACCCGGTCTGTTCAAAACTTCGTTTCAGGCTTAAGTAAGGAAAACTGGTCACCGCTTTATAGTTACCGGGATATAAATAACGCATTTGAGTACTTATTTCAAGTGTTTGACTATCACTTCGAAATACGTTTTCCACTGTGTAAATGTCTGACTAACAACAACAATGAGTCGATGAAAATGTAAAGTTGTCAGACAGCATATGTTGTCAACAAGTATCCCTGAATAACAGACAACATTACCTAGATGCAAGGAGACAACACCAGACGCTTGTCAGAAAAACAAAAAAGGCATATTATCAACAAAAAATATCCAATTCGCACAACGTGATGGAGGCTGCCTGGAATGTGGTTTATGACATAAATGGAAGAAATAAGAGTACCAAAGAACATTGTACTGTGTGATAATGGATTAGCCATTAGAAATCCACAAGAAAGTGTCTAACAACTCGGCTCCTCTGGATGTTATTCAAAAAATATCTAGTTCTAAGTGGTCATACCTGCGACCAAAAATCTGTTACGTTTTTATATCCATTCTTGGAAGAACAATTCTATAAACTACATGATAAATTAAAAAACAAGCGTTCTTCAGTCACCGTATGAAGTTCAGAATTTCTTAGTCAAGAAAATTTCATTGTACATAACCAAACCTTTTGTTTTCCTAGTTAGTCTATTATTCTGCACTGGTGTAAGTTCCGAATAACCTAAAAACAGGAAAAGTAACTCCAATTCATAAGAAAAGAGACACTTCTTTGGTCAGCAATTACAGACCGTTGACTGTTCCATGCTGTTTTTCCAAGATCCGTGAGCATTGTTTTTTAGATCGACTTCTGCTGTTCTTGGAAGGCAGTGACTCTCTATCATCCAATCAACATTGTTTCCGAATTGGAAAGTCACCACGATCGCATGTCATTTATTTATCAACACGTTAGTCAACTGTATTGAGGCAGAAGAATGCTCTCTTGGGATATTTTGTGACCCCAGTAGTGCGTTCGACTGTGTCAGTCATGACATACAGTCATGACATACTATTAGCCAAACTAACTGACTAAGGAATTGGTGGTTCAGCCTCTAGATAAAATCGAAGGCAATAACAAACAACAACGCTGGTCAACTGAAGCAGGTCAAATCGGGTATGGTTAACATATATATAGGCGTACCACAAGGACCTGTATGAGGGCCAGTGCTGTTCTCCCTTTAAACAAATAACCTGGAACAATGTTTTCATGAGGCACTTCACGTTGTTTGCGGACGATGCCTCTATCATTATGTCAAACAAAGGTGAGTAGGATTTAATAAATAAGTGTAACACCTTAGTGAACATCAACAGCTGGTTTGAAGAAAATCAGTTACTTCTTAATAGCTAGAGGACCACAATTATGAGATTCCATCAGAAGTCGGTACCAGCGATTCAGCTTGTTCGAAACGTTTCAGCACTGCAGAGTGATAAAATCATTAAGTTTTTAGGGCTCCACTCAGACCAATGTCTCAACTTTAAAGGACATTGCGATTATCTATCGTCAAAACTAAATTCACAAGCATATTTATCCAGAACTTGAGCTCTGTTTTCACAGAGGATCAGCTAACGATGTTGTATCATGGTTAAATTGGATCTCGCATGCTATACGCGTTGTGCTTCTGGGGTTCATCGTCGAACGCTTCTAAGATGTTCTCAAGTCAAAAACGACATATATATACCTTTTGCGCTTTACAGGTTAGGCAGCAGGTCACCATGTATTTTAGGACCAAAAATTGTTAACAACCTGCCTGACTCCATAAAAAGGATCACCTCAATAGGCCAATCCAAATCTGAGCTAAAAAGCTACTTTATCGGTAAGTGTTTTTATGCAATTGGCGACTTTATCAGTTTTTAAATATCGTTTTTTATCACTAATTTTAACTTGTTACATATTTACTTATTGTATTTTTGACGAAATCTATACATGTTCATGCGTATCTAAAAGAAAATAAATCCGCAAAAAGAAGGAAATAGGATTTGAGCAGAAAATAGGATAGGTAACCCGAGCGATACGTATTTCTGCTGGTTGCCTTCATCAGCCCCGAATTGAATGCACTTATGAAAGTATACTAGTATACTAGTATACTACAATGTGTAGGGTGTAGTATACTACAGTGTGTAGGCTGGCTCTTGTTCGTTCGTTTCCTCAGGTTACACCCGTATACGGATGTGTGGGCATGTTTATCTACTTTTGTAGTTTCATATGTGCATTCATTTCGGGCCTGATGAAGCCAACCAGCAGAAATACGTATCGCTCGGGTTACCTATCCTATTTTCTGCTCGAATCGACTTTCCTTCTTTTTGCGGATTTTGCCCATTATTTTCTTACTTTTTGTTATATACCTTTCTCCGCATGATCATTTTCTCTAGACATATATTGCTGCTGCTCCAACTATGCTTGTAACGGGTGTTTTTTTAGAGGTATAGAACTTTAAATTGCAATAAAACAACGATGGGTTATTCGATTGACATGAATTTTTTTTATTCGAAAGATAATCCTGTGGCATTAGATTTTAAATATATATGATTTCTGGCATATGACTGCCACGGCTGGCTCGGATGTAGTCCAATCTTGACGTCCAATTTTCGACTACTTTTTCCAACATTTGTGGCCGTATATCGGCAGTAACATGACGAACGTTGTCTTCCAAATGGTCAAGCGTTTGTGGCTTATCCGTATAGACCAATCAATTTACATAGCCCCACAGAAAATAGTCTATCGGTGTTAAATCACAAGATCCTGGAGGCCAATTCACAGGTCCAAAACGTGAAATTAGGCGGTCACCAAATCAATAAATCGATTGTAGCACGAGCTGTGTCACAAGTTGCGCCGTCTTGCTGGAACCACAGCTCCTGGACATCATGATTGTTCAACTCAGGAATGAAAAAGTTAGTAATCATGGCTCTATACCGATCACCATTGACTGTAACGTCCTGGCCATCATCGCTTTTGAACAAGTACGGACCAATGATTCCACCAGCCCAAAAAGCGCACCAAACAGTCAGTTTTTCTGGATGTAACGGTGTTTCGACATAGACGTGAGGATTAGCTTCACTCCAAATGCGGCAGTTTTGTTTGTTGACGTAGCCATTCAACCAGAAGTGCGCTTCATTGCTAAACAAAATTTGCTTATGAAAATCGGGAACAACGGCAATCTCGTTTTGGGCCCATTCAACGAATCTACGCCTTGCTTGATGATCGTTTGGCTTCAATTTTTGCACGAGCTGCATTTTGTAAGCACGCAAACCAAGATCCTTTCACAAAATCTTCCAAAAAGTGGATGGACTCCAATTCCCATGCTTGATGGCGGATGGACTTATTCGGGTCTTCCTCAATGCTACGCTCTACAGTAGCAATAGCTTCTTCTGTGCGCACCGTACGGCATCTCTGGGGATGCGAGTTATCAATTAGAGTAAACGTAGTGCGAAAACGTTCCATGGTTAATCGAATTAACTGCTCTGATGGACGATTTTGTCGACGATAAAATGAACGTAGTGCGCGATACGTATTCAGCACAGAACATTTATTTTCGAAATAAAACTGCACAATTTGCAAGCGTTTTTCAGTCGTGAGTCTATTCATGATGAATTGCCAAACCAAACTGAGAATAAATCACTTGACAGCTGTCAAATCGGTCCCGATCTTCAAAAGTAATGCCAACTTGAAGTTCTATACCTAGAAAAAAAAAACACCCTTTACATACCTGATCCGGTTGAGAGTGAGGCGCTCTGTATACACTTTCTTAACAGCCTCCCGCCTCTTTAACATTCAGGATTTACGCATGAGAAATTACCTGATGCGTCCACTGTTTTGTTAACAGGTCAAGAAGTAGAAATAACTACTTGTTCCCACCTCAAGCAGTTTCATAGTTGGATAGGTAAATGCTTTTAAAACTCGATGCATCTGTTACTGATATTAAATCATATGCGTGAGAAGAAAAATCACACGGTCTGTTGCCCTGAAACGATCCTCCCGGAAAAGTTATGATGATAAAAATTGTTGGTGAAGGCTCGAAGTGAGAGCGTGCGAGCTGCTGGAAACCGCTCTGGCAGCAACGCTGTGACGCATGGCGGCAGCCGAGAAGGGATGATCGTTGAACGAACGCCCCCAGAATACGATTTCCAGGCCATTGTGCATGTGCTTTATTGACGCGGTCTTCTTCCACTCGAGTTTGTATTGTTGGAGTCGAATTATTGCTGGCTGTGCGGCGAAGCGGCGGCCAGCAATGCCGCTAGGCGGTGAGAACGACGCGGCGAGCCGTTCAGCGGATGGGACGGCGAAAGATATATACCATATGTATTTTGTTGCTCATTTTTCGAAGCACCAGCGACGGTTAAGTGAAATAGCGTAAGGGGTGGATGTAGTAAGGGCTGCATTCAGTATGGGATGGAAAGACGTCATCCAAGATAACAGGGGTTACTCAGTGCTGCACTGTCAGCCACCCCAGACTGTTAGAAAAGGTGGTAATGCGACGCAGCGGAGCATCTCTCACACAAATCATAGACGGCCAGCGTTACCCGAGAATAGATTCTCGGATTAACGGGACAGTCGCAAAGCAAGTGTTCTTATCTTCTTGTCCACAAGGATGTGTCACTCAATCTCATATCACAGAGGTGTTTTCGTAGCTGCTAGTATTCAGTCTCAATGCCAGTGGCAAACCGAAGTTGTTGTCTGGACATAGAAAGGTAGTATTTTGCTACTCCCTCACTAGGATTGCTGAGGAACTCTTTAACGAATGAGCAGCCAGACGTATCAAAACGCTTGTTATGAAAGACTTTGTGGATGTGCTCTTTAAGCACAGTTACCAGGGCCCGACGGGAAGAATGTAGAGGGATTCTGGGCACAAAATTCTAGCCTCTCAGCCACAATAAAGTTGTTAATAGTGGAGCCATACGCAAGAACGAAATTGCAGTCTAGTACTGTATTAGTTGTAATAACTGAGAGTCAGTTTGGC